CATATAACAAACACATGAACATTAAGGATGAATACACACACATGCGCACAAAAACGCGCACGCAAACACACACGTACGCAGACACACACGCACAAAAGCCCGCAAGAAGCACATAGAAACAAACCTCACACGGCTAACAGCACTGCACCGCCGAGTTTATTTATTCAATCTCTAGTGCATATAATCTACCTCTAATATATTTCCTCCGCTAAGATTTAAACGTTCAAATTTGTTTACATTTCATGCCAGTCAGTCAGTCAGCCATTCAGTCAGTGAGTTAGAGAGTTTAGGAGTTCTCTTCAAACTTCTTCTTGAATGGCTCGACTGCTGGTTGAGTGTTGTTAATGCCTCAAAAAAGTTTACTAGCAATAATATTATTATTATCATTATTATTATTATCATCATCATCGTCGTCGTCGTCATCATCATCATCATCATTATTATCATTTTTATTATTATTATTACTATTACCGCAATCAAAAGTGTTAGCGAAGTTGTTGATGATCCCACTGTGTGGATGATTGTTGTTCCTGCAACTCAAACTCGCCACCACACACTGCTTCCACTTGTACGAGGAAATTTTAGATTCCCGAAAAATCTCCGCGATGTTTTTTTTATCGCTGTGCCGGCGTTAGCCTAATTTTTTTACTCTTTCGAATCTTCCTGTCTTTCCTACTTTCAATACTACCATTCCTTGGAATAATATACCACAGTACTAGCATAATTACTATTTTTTGCGTCTGTTGTTGCTAATATTGTTACCGTGGATACTGCTTCAGTTACTACTTCATCAACTGCTTCCAGCCGCTGTGGCATCACCACCACCACCACCACCACCACTACTAATACTACTACCACTACTACTACTACTACTACCACCACCACTTCTACTACTACTACTACCACCACCACTACTACTACCACTACTGCTACTGCTGCTACTACTACTGCCACTACTACTACCACTACTACTACTACTACCACTAATACTACTACCACTAATACTACTAATAATAATAATACTGCTACCTGTACTACTACAACTGCTACTACTGCTGCTACTAATACTACTACTGCTGCTGCTGCTACTACTGTCTTTACTAATGGATCGGCAGCATTTGTTGTTGGTGCTGATCGCTAGTGACGCATGTTATAATTCATCATTGTGAGAATGACCCTCAGTTAATTGGAATTTTGTGCAATTTAAACTTAAATTAACATTAGTATGGATTTTTCCCTCATATGTTATTGTTGTTTGAAGGTTTTTCCTGCCGGCAGTCATTTTTCTATTTCGCAGTGTTATTATCATTAATAAAATTGGTATTGGTATTTTAACTGTTGTTGTTTTGTTGCTGGTAATATTACCATTTTTATTGTTGTTGTTTCAACTTTTTTATATTTTATTAGCGATCATTGACTTTAATAAATCTGTCAGCCAAAATGTTTGCTAGACGATAAATAAACACACCTCACCTCAAAATTCGAACACACCACGCACACACACACACGTACACAACACACCACACACATGCACACACACACCACACATACATGCACACAGACACACAGACACACACACAAACACACACACAAACACGCACATTTATTTGCGTGCTTATGTATGTGCGGTGCGTGTGTGTTTGTGTGTCCATGTTTGCTTGTCAATTGACAGTTTCTCCATCTTATTGCACATCGTCTGTTATCATCATCACCATCATCATCGTCGTCATCATCACCATCATCATCGTCGTCATCATCACCATGGTTTACATTGTCGTGGTTATTATCATCATTTTCAAATGTGTTGTATGTAAACAGCGTCATCATCTTCATCATCATCGTCATCATGTTCGTGCCATCTTCATCATTCTCTCTGACTTCACTATCATGTTGACGTTTACATTGTTGTCATCACTGTCGTGTCGTCGTTTTCCTCATCATTTTTATGATGATAACAGTTAGCGCGTCAGACTTTTTTTGGGTGTTTTCACAATTTCACTTTTTCAATGCTGTAATGAGGAGCATGAAAGTGGCGTGTGCTCGTCAGTTCACTTTGAAACTTGTGCTTCTGTTGAATTAGCAGCTTCCATTGTAAACTCTGGTCTGACGAAAATTTTTGTGGTTTCTTTATCGCTTTGTTTCACTATTGTTGAATTTAATAGATGCACCTATCTGTATGCAATGACAAAATTCATTAATATTCTCATGTTATAAACGATGTTTATTTTATTTTGTGCTGTTGTTCGTTTATCCTATCAAACAAAGTGATGACGGTGGCGAAAAATAATTCAGTTTCAGTTGGGCAAAAATATTATCCTCATTACTTTTAAAAATTTCGAGAATGTTCCCACTTCGTACCTTCCTCCAAATGACATGTCTTGCCCCAGCTGGCACCAGCCCAACGAACGCCGAGTTGTGTTTTCTTAGATTCTGACTTAAGCGTTGCCCCGTTCATGCCTGACTATTTGTGTATGTCGAATATGTGTGTTTGTTAGTGCTGGTATGTATGTGTGTACGGTACTTATGTATGCGTGTATGTACGCTTGCATGTACGACGTATTAATTTGTGTGTAAATGTACGAATGATAGTATGAATGTGTGTGTGTATGAATGTATGTAAGCATGTGTATACAAAGTTCTTGTATGAGTTGGCTGATGTGTGGGATATTTCTTAGTACTTCTTTTTAAGCGTTTGTAGATTTTAAGGTAAGTTTTGGAATAATTGTAGATTTTTAAGAACTTTGTGAATTTTTTTTATTCAGTTGCTATTCAAAACATGCGTGTTGCAATATTTTACACTTTTCAATTTTAGTTTAAAACTTTTCAAATACTGAAAACTCAGATTGATAAATAAAAAAAAAATTCATTAACAAAAAACTAACTCCATCCACCGTCAGACACAATGTACAGAGAGTTCATCGAGCATCCGAAGATGGCAGGCATCAGAAGTCGAACCATCTGGGTGAACATCGATGTGCCGGGTCAAGGTCAGAATGAACCAGATCTACCTGCTGAGTGAGTTCCGTCTGTTTGTGTTGTGTTTGTTAGTTCGTGCTTGTGTAATATTGTTATATGTCTCTCTCTCTCTCTCTCTCTCTCTCTTTCTGTGTGTGTGTGTATGGGTAGTATGCAGTGTTTGTATTTATGTGGAGCATGTTGTGAATCGAAATTATTACACAACGTTAAGTGTTGTGGCACGGCGGTTGTTGCATTATGGTTGTTGCGTATGCATATTAGTGATAAAATCTTCATAATAGGTGATATGATATAATGGGGCTGATTAGAAAGAAAAGGTACAAGGTCATTTTTATTTATGAAGGCGCGTGATGCATCAAAGCTTTGGGGATGGCGTGCCGCCCCTACATTAGATTAAAAATTTAAATTGAATGAGAAGTAAATAAAAAATTGAAAAGTAGTCTTAAAATTGAGAAAAAATATTTGAACGAGTTAAGATACTTATTCATGGTGGTACATGACACAGTACACCTGATGATAACTTGACGATAAGTATAGGCGCTTGTTATCTGCTGCTGATGGTTGACAGTTTGCTACGGTGCCGTGAATGTAATGATGCCTTACAGACATTAAGAAGATGATGAATATAAGGATGAGGACATGTTATGACCATTCAACTGCTCTTTGTTTTAAGAGGTTGACGATATGATGAGATGGTTTTAACTTTGTACATTTAGAACATTCTAACAAACACGTTGCATGTGGTTGAATCTAGTTTGAATAGTGTCATGTGACAATTATTAAATTTTTTAAAATATTTTGAAATATCAGAATACATTATGTATAATAAGTTACTCAGAAATGTACTTGTATGATCAAGAAAGACCTAATACATGTTGTGTACATCTGTCTTAACGTTTTGTATGGGCTTATAATGTTGAGTTTGTATTGCTCAGAAAATGGTTCTTATACGGATTAATAAAAGTTTGGGGGTTTATTCAATTAAGTCTGCAAAACGGCTATAAAATATACTGTTCGAGAAATGGCTTCATAAAAATAATTTTGCTGGGCTGGCTTGAATGGAGCTCCTGAAGGTAGCAACTGCGAAGGTGTTAGGTTGATGAGACGATGATGACAATAATAAAAAATGTTGATGACAATAATGTCATACAATGAAGGCGAGAATGATGATGAAATGGTAAAATGATGATGAGAATGATAGTGATGATGATGGTGATGACAATCCCAGAGCATGAGGTGCCACAAGGTTCACAATTGTAATTTCGAGTAAAATAAGCACAGACATTGCAAAATGATGACAATGGTTTTAGCGAAAATATTTATGATATTTAAGTTAAAACAAAATAATGACGATGATGATGATGATGATGATGATGAGGAGGAGTTAATCAATGATGCATATAACAGCTGAGACTGAAATGAAGCTAGCAGACTGCGGATTGTTTATTTTATCGATTTCTCATATGAAAAATATTGCCGGCAAGTAAATAGATTGAAATGTGTACAGTAGGAACATTGCTTTTTCCATGTAGTGTGGGTTTGGGTTGTAAAGCAAACACATTTCAAGGTAACGAGTGAATATTCTTTAGATAAATTTTACGCCTTCGCTGAATTCTTGCTTGAATAACAAAATAATAATATTAATAAAAAGAAACAACTGAATTGGCTGGTTATTGATATTTTGCTCTGAATTGGCTTGTTGCTAATATTTTGTTCTGGTCTCTCAAAAAATGTGGCGATCATTCATAATGTTTTGCGACTTAAAAAGAGATGAAATGTTCTATGCTGATATGTTCTAATTATCAAATCAAAACGTGCCTTGATTCTTTTTCTTTCTTTTTCTTTCCTTGCTCAGCACGACTGGCTCCAACAACAGCACGTCGCAACAAAAAAACTGAAAAAGTTTCGGTGAAAAAAATTGTAAAAGAAAAGATAAAAAAGACAGAGAGGAGTCATTACGCGCCGGACAAAGAAGGGATCAAGGCGCCACAAAATGTGAATCACGTTCATTCTCAAAACTTTTATGATGTTTCTTTTTGGAATTATTTCCATTATAAAGTAGATTAAATTGCTAATAGAAATTGCATCAGAGGAAACTGCAATGCACGGTCAGTTTTGATCAACGTTGATGGTCGGTTTCGTTCAATATTGACCGTAATAAATATCTTGTTCAACCGCTTCAAACATTTTATTGGGCATTTGTTTTGATCATGACATTTATTTCGACTTTCATTAATTAAATTTGAATGAACAATAATTTACGCTTTTCATGATTCTAAATATTTCGTAACAAAGTTTGAAATATTTGCAGTAAAAATGATACCCAGCACGGTTGTCATAACACAAAAGACCGCTGCCGGTCGAACCAACCACTTGCCAACCTTATTAAATATTTACACAAAACGCTTTTTCATCATCTTTTTCATTTTTTTTTTACTTTTTCCTCTTAAAAATAATCTTGAGATCAATGTTTACTTTGTCCTTGCGTGTGTTTTCTTTTGCATTTTCGTTTATTCAATACGAGCCGCACTGTGTTTGCGTTGAAGGTTCTGTTGTTTCTTTCAACGAACGAACGGACGGAAGATGCCAGGTTTATTGTGTTCTTACAACGTTATATTTTGCACCGCTCTGACCATACTGACGTCGCTTTCAACTTTCGTTTTCTCCCATATTTTAAACAGTTTGTTCTGAAGTCATGAAACTTTAAATTAAAATTGCAAATTGTTTGCTTGCTATCTCATTCAAGCGTAAGAAACGGACAGTTTATGTTGAACGGAAGTTAAAATGACGAACAACTTTTTAAACTGTGGGTGAACTGGCAGAACACGACATTGTAACGAAGATGAATGACTGAAGGAGTACAACCGTCAGACTTGACATCCAAGACTCCACTCGTCACATGTTTTTTTTTATCGGTTTAGAACCTTATGAGAATGTGTGAATATCATGCTTTACAATAATTTTTATTGTCAACTACCAATGAAAAAATTGAATTTCCTGCGATGATTCAAATACGGTTAGGCAAATTTATTTTAAACATCGAATAATTGATCGATTCATTTGTTTTTTTTAATTAAAATTAAATATGTCGTGTTTAATGTATTGTTAGGTGTTTGAAGGTCTGTTTTTATTTATGGGGTCCGTACAGCTAGCCATCCAACTGAACACGCGCAAAAAACGTTAAAAGGCCGATGTACGTTCCAGCTGCACCAGTAAATTTTTCGCGTCTCAATGCGTCTATTGCAGCTTATTTTATGAGTTTGTGGGCTGCTGTCGAAATGCACGCACATATGCACTGGAAGGCCTCTTTCTCTCATTTACTTGAAGATGCAAGTACTTTTTTGACCATGTCTGATTGAAAATAAAGTTGCTAGTTTAGTGTTTTTTTATCGCGGTTGTTTCAAAATTCAAAAATTCTTTCATGTTTCTAGCTAAAAGTCATGTCAAATTTCATCCGTTTTTGTCGAGTCAAGATGTAATCTGCTAAAATTTAATACAATCTCAATCCCATTCATTTATGCCTAATTTTCTCAAGTAAAGTTTCTTGCAATCATTGTATCGTCGATTCCATAGAGACACCTTCACACATTCTAACCTACACATTCTCACACACATTCTCACACACATTCTCACACGCACACACACACACATTCTCACACACATTCTCTCTCACACATACACACATTCTCACACACATTTTTACTTACAGCTATCAGTTCCCATCAATGCAACAGATTGGAGAGGACCTCGTTCACGTCTTGAATCAGCTTAAGTTCGTTACTTTTCGTTACTCAACTTTTACCATGCGTTGAAAATATCAAACATTTGGTGTAGCATTTTTTTAAATTTATATATTTGTGTATTTAAATATTTGTTTGTCTAAATAAATAAATTCATAGCTATTTATTATTTGTTTACTTATTATGATTCAAAATATTTAGGCGAGTGTGTGTTGCCTTTTGTTGGAAAGAAGATGCCGTATTTTTTGTTTTTATGTTGGACGTTTGGGCATGAGTAAACAACGCTTGATGTTTCAACATTAAAAGAGTAATTGTTTTTCAAATAAATTAAAACTGATATGCATTTTGGCATTTGTTTCTAATGAGATCAACTCGTTGAAGTTACATTTTATAAATTTTTTTGTTTCTGGTTGACTAAAATCAATTGATTTTCACAATTCCTGGCTCTTATTAAATAAAGAATTGAAATTCAGAACATTACGTTGTCGTCATCATTCAATGGAATATAACACGTTACTAGGCAAAGTGAGTTTCATAAGACACATGAGAGCGATGTTATACAGGGCTACGCAGAAGCATTCCCATTAAAAGCAAAATAAATCGTTTCTTTTTTCATGCAATAAAAGGCTCTACGCAATTTATTCGGTCATTAGTTTGATTGAGAGAAGAACGAAGCTTCTTGGCACACGGCTAGATTTACGAACCCGGTGTTATTCATCAAGCCGGGTACGACATCGTAATAAGCAGCGCACCTACCCACATTTATCTGAAGGCTGGCTGCCTCCTTGTTCTGACAACCAATTCAATAACTCGCATTTCTGCTTCATACTACAAAATACTGCAAGCGTACAATAGGAACAATAAGTTTAAATAAAACGCGTAACAACTTACATGTAATTTGTTTAATTTTTTATGAAAATTGCAATAAAACTTTGTATTTTATAATATGCTAATTTGACCGGATGAATATTGTTTATAAAATTAATTATAATAATATATTAGCCCTGGTTTCAATTGATGATATTCAATATAAATCATCGCGTGATGTTAACCTTACAAAATTATTTTAAATTTAAGTAAAAATTAAATACTCAAAAAATGATTGATACATGAACTTTTTATTTTCGTTAGGTTCAAAGAGGTCATATGTCTTGGAGAAGGTGCCGGAGCTAACATCATTGCAAGATTTGCTGTCAGTATTTGTCTGTTGGGTTGTTTGTTTGTTTGTCTGCTTGTTTGTTTGCTGGTTAATAATATTATTTTCTTGTTGTGTTTGCGTCAAGTTGTTACATAATTTAATGTTAATTCTAAATAAATTTTATAAAATAATAACTGATTCACCATTAAAAAGATTTTTTGATTTAACAACCGTTTATGAAACCGTTGTGTTTGAGTTTGATTATTAGAAGGCGCCTCAGCTGATAATGTCAATCGGTTTGTGATGACTTGATTAACCCATCGATCAAAAATAAAAGAAATTTTGAAAAGAAAATTGTCTCCTTAGTTCTGAGCACTTGATATCATGTGGATAACATCGTTGCGTCTATACAAATAGCTTTATATAAAAATTTCAATTCAATTTTCTATAATTATGTACCGATTTTGTGACTTTTAAACTTCAAATGATACACATTTTAATAAAATTGGAGATGCTAGAGACGATACCTGTATCAATAATTAATTGCTGATGATATACCTAGTTAACTATCTCCTAAACTTACTTTTTATATCTGATAACAATCAGTGCAATGATGGGAGTTGCCCTGGAGTCGGAATGAAATGACGCATTTTTTTCAACCTATGATATATAAAGTTGCTAAGACCCAACAGCCAAAAGTATTAATTGTTATATATGCCACTGAAATCTTAGACCTCTCAGGAAATAAACACTCATTAGTACACCAATAAACACTTACACGCGTATCTTAATACACAATACTTCGATATATGCACTGTGCTTGTCAAATGCCTGGCTAATATCAAGCGATGATGATTGAATGTTGTTGTGCGTGTAAATGAGTGTCGTGGATTAGGGCCAACTCGATCACAAGCAGCCGACTATCATATGCAATTATCTAGGTAGACCTCCTTATTATGTTATATTAAATCAACTGCGGGTAATTTGATGCAATTTTATTCATTTTTTAAAAGATTATAAATAAGATTATAAATTTCTATGAATCTGTCGATCTGAAATTAACCCAGAGATCAACATAAAAATCTGTTGACGATTTTGTTGAAAGCTTTACATCAGTTATGGCGAAGTGACATTTGAATTTTTTTCTATTCTTTTCCTTCTTTTCAATTTTTAGGATTTTTTGCCAAAAATTCATTCATTCATTCGTTCGTTCGTTCGTTCGTTCGTTCGTTCGTTCATCCATTCATTTATTCATTCATTCGTTCGTTCGTTCGTTCGTTCATCCATTCATTTATTCATTCATTCATTCGTTCGTTCGTTCATTCATTCATCCATTCATTCATTTGTTTATTTTTTTGTTTGGTACTGTTTATTTGAAGTAGCGCCTGATAACGTAAAATGTAACTAACAGTTCTACATTCAAATCAAACTAAATTCTAAAGATTTGGTTTCTTTCGTAGTAAATGGCTTAATGGATCTTATATGTATAATATCAGAACAATCATTTGCTTTCTTTTGTTTACAATTTATAATAACTTAACTTTATTTTGACTTTATTTTTTAGTAATTCTTATTATAAAATATAATAAATGTGTGAATAAAATATAATTTATTATCAATAATTATTGAAATTACATTATGACGCCATTTCTCAGTAGAGATATTTTTTATCTCTCTTTCCATTCACCTGCTATCACGTGATATTTAATGGATGCCAATATTTACTTTCCTAATTTCGCATTTCAGTTTTTTAATTTATCACATGCCTATTCATCCATTCGTTTGCAATACTTGCTTGTATCAATTTGCAGTTAATTCCCATAGAGGGTAGAAAAAATAATGATGTTTTTTTGGTAAGAACCTTTTCCGTTTCAAAATGTCGGTGTTATGTAAGATTTATTTAAATTTTCAAATAGTTTCGATTGTCCAATTTGTCTATTCCAATTGTCTTTTAATTCTCTAATCTTGCGTAAGAGTTACAGAGACTCGAATATGGAGCGCCTCTAACGTCTTTCATACCTTTAAATCTAATAATTGATGTACAAAGCCAATTCCAGGCAACGAACTGAAAATTTTCACACCAGATATCAGTCATCCCGCTGGTTATTAGATCTATTTTGTTAATTTAAAATCAATGAATTAAATGAATGAATGAATGAATTAATTAATGAATGATGAAAAATTATTGCTCTGCGTGTGTTTCTGCCTGTGTTCCTCATCAAATGACGTCTGGATGGGATAACTAGATGGGTTTGGGCGGTATTGATTTTCCATCGAATTAGTACATGTGGGGGACTGCGTGTTTACGTTCTCATGTATGTAGATGAGGTACGTGAGGTTGAGTGATTGCGCTGCTACTGCTGCAGCTAGCGGTGGTGGTGGTTGTGTGGTTGCGATCGCTATCGGTTAAATTGTTTTGTTTATCTCTCTCTCTCTTTCTCTGTTTTTCTATCTCTCTCCATCTCTCTCTCTCTCTCTTGCGTGGTTTCGACATAATTTTTTTCAATGAAATCACACGAAATCGAACATGGCTGAATTACATACCCCTGACAACAAACTCGCACTCTCTCCATATACGCTATACAGTAAATATAACCACCACGGAAGAATCTTTTATGTGGCAGCCGTAACATGGCAATAAAGATTGCTCGTGTCCATTCAATAAACACTAGTTGGACGTGCAAACAAACACCGGACGTGTGTGTGTGTGTGTGGGGGGGGGGTACTGTACGTACAGGGTACACACATCATGTTAGGCAGCGCACATTAAGTGTACAGTACGCATTATATATGCAGTACAACACGTAATGAACCATCGTACAGAAGTACCTACACACATCTTGAACAGTTGGATAAATACTCATTAGATGTACAGTTGATATTGAATGTACGTTTGTACAGTACTAACTGAATGTAAAGTACACATAAGTACACACACGTGTGTCTCTACTAACAACAAACACGTTTAATGTTATAAACTATGCATTTCAACTCTGACTCGAGTCTGTAACATCGTTGATTTACTGGGGAAGATGAAAATTCATCGCTTAAGTTACAGCTTGCTAGCTGTTTAGCACGATATTCATTAATTAAAGTTATAGAACGACAGCCAAACAACACAAACTATTTTTACTACAAAATTAATTCCCTCACATTTGAAACTTCTCAAGTCAACGAACTCCAATTTTCTTAGTGAATTATCTCCTTGCCTGGAGTAATGCAATGCAATGCAACCCAGGGCGACGCTTTTATAATTACCAATCGATAATGATTTGCGATAATTGAAAAATGGCAAAAAGGATGCTGGCAAGCATGCATGAACGTTTCTATGTTCGTCATCTCTATACAACAAAATGACTGGCAGTTACTAACAACTACCAACAATTACGTAAAACCACTCCTAATTATATTGAGATATTCAAAATTTTTCACAACAACTCTAATCTACAGGTGATAATTGCTTGAAAATATCTACAATTAGCTTCAAAACTACGCACATTCATTTTCAATTTAATGTAATAGTTACAAAAAGATAACCACCAAAACAACCAACCCCTATTACTTAAAATTACTGATAACTATTCAGAATTATTATCAAATAGTTAATTCTACCAACACTTACTTTCAAATACTTATCACTACCAGCCAAAAATTACCTGAAATTAATTACCCCTACCCAGAATTACTTTCAAATACTTACTATTACCAGCAACTACTATCATATTAATTAGTAACAAACAATTAAGTTAATGATTAGCAATGAAATAAGTAATTAAATTATAGCAAGTAAGTTATAATTATTATTTTATAATAAAAAGTTATGATCATAATTACTTAACACTCCACTGTGTACTGTACATTCAGCACTATTAGGCTCTGCGCTATTTTACAATCTTTAAATTTTATGTTTTTTTTCCTCATTTTTTAAAATTTATTATTTTTAATTTTATGGCCGATATTTTTTGCTGAATAATCGTTTGTCGGTTATTTAGTTAGTTAAATTAATTATTAAATAATATCTGTCACATAGATTGTAATAAATAATTATTAATATTAACTTAATTAAATTAATAATAATATTAATTAAATTAATTAATTTAATTTTTTACATAGATGGCGCACATAGAGAGGGTCCTTGGTATTGTTCTGATGCATGCCACCGGTACCACATCGGGTCTCTTCGAGTCCATCAAGGATAAGGTCAGTTTTATATGATGCGATGTCTGGCCAATAGGATGATCGGTCATTCATTTCTTTATGGCCAATAGAACGTGGTTACTCATTTTATTACGATGTGATTATTGGCCATTAGGATGATATGCAATAGACATCCATTGTCATTCTCCTGAACAACTAAAAAAAGTTACTCAAAAATTTTTTTATCTTCAACCTTGAACTTGAAACAAAAACCAAAAATAACTTCGACAGTTCATTCTTGCTGAGCGCGTTGAAACGTATCGTTCAAAAGAAAATAATTTTTTTATCTCTAGAAAAAAATTTACCAATCTAACAGTCGTCACTGTCTTCATCGTCGTCAACATCGTTATCATCATCACCACCACCCATATTAGCATCATCGTCGTCGTCATCATAAGCATTGCATAGATAACGTGTCTGGGAATGCTTTCCATTACGCTGCGCAGCTCTGCGTTCCGATGACTTATTGGAAAATATTTTTTGCCCGTTAATTACAAATACTAAAAATTAAACTGCTCCTACGATGTTGAAAATAATTGAAAGTTTTTAAATAATGAACAACTGTTAGTGGGAGTGTGAATGAATCACTCAATTTAATTAACTAAATTTAATTTTCATAGTTAATCACGTGACGTAATGTTTAATATCAATACAATGTGACCTAGTTACTGAGTTGGAAGCTTGACCCAATTAAAGTGAACCAATCGGCTGAGAGTTATCTGGTGCTGCATAGATTTGGAGGGGTCAGTGATCTTTGTCTGTCTGTTTGTTTGCGTGTCTGTCTGTCTATTTGTTTTGTCATTTCATTAGCATCAATGCTTCTATGTTTGTTTATTTGACCATACATAAGTTTGTGTAAATATTTGTTTGTTCTTTTGTTTGTTTGTTTATGTCTGTGTGCGTGAATAGGTGTATGTTTGTTTGAAATAAGTATTTTGAATATTATTTAATTCATAATTAACCGACGGATTAATAATTCATGACAAACATTTATTCATTATTGAATTTTAGCAATAAATTAATTAAAAAAAAACATGTTTTCTTTTATTAAATAAATGACTAAACGAAAAAATTAATCAATAAAATGAAATGATAATGGGATAATTAATTTGGTAGAAAGAAAAATTAAATAGACGAATGAATTATTTATCCACCCTTCCAATGCCCGTCACTGCCCTGGGAATCCACAACGACAAAATTATTGACGGCCACGCACACGTACGTTCCACGTTAATCCTCTTCTCCTTCCGGTCCCTTTTCCTCCTCTTCCTGCTACTGCTCCTCATCTTCATCATCATCTCCACCATCATCATCATTTTCATTTTCCTCCTCTCCAACTGCGGCTAACTTCATCGTAATCTGGACAGACCAAAGTGAGATTACACGAGACATCCTTCTTTATTTATTTTATTTGCTTTATTTATTGCATGTGACATTTCGTTCTTTCTTTCGCTGGCTCTCCAAACATTCATCTGCTTTGCATTTGCGTCGATTTATCATCTTATTTATCTGGATTTCGTTTTTTTTGTTCGTTCGTTCGTCTCTTCTTTCGTTCGTCCATCCGTTCGTCCGTCCGTTAGTCCGTCCAACCATCCATCCATCCATCCATCCATCCATCCATCCATCCATCCATCCATCCATCCATCCATCCATCCATCCATCCATCCATCCATCCATCCATCCATCCATCCATCCATCCATCCATCCATCCATCCATCCATCCATCCATCCATCCATCCATCCATTCATTCAATAAATCGTTTGTTTTGTTTTTAGATTTTTCTATTAAGTTACCATCTTTCTTAATTGATTAATATGAATATTAATTTTACATCATCATTGCCTCATTGCTCTCTACAGTTTCTCCATCTTAGACATTCTAGGCAGCCTCATCTCATGTTAATTTTGATTTTGCTGTTGTAATCATTTTTCTCAACCTCGTCACCATCATTCTACCACCATCATCATCATCGTCAGCATTGTCAGAAACTGTAATTTCTATCATTAACGTCAATATCATCATCATCAGCTACATCATCATCATCATCATCATCAACGTAGTCACTATCATAATTGTACTGTCATCATAATCACCGTCGTCATCCTCATCACATCTAGGACGACTTCAATTGAAATATTGTATCCTAGCGTGCAGAGAGAGAAAGAGAGAAAAAGAAGAAAAATAATGAGAGAGTGAAAAGGAAAAAGAGAGAGTTAGAGCTTGGCAGTGTAATGTTGGCAATGGAAAGCTAACTCAATAGGAGTATGCTGACATGTATGTGGAGAGATGATGATGATGGTAGTGCTGCTGCTGATGATGATAGTGATGATGTGCCTGATATGATGATGATGACGATGATGGTGATGATACTTTGAACAACTTTTGCTAAGGGTTCGCACATGTCAGCGAGTGTTCGCCGTCGTACGTTTTATCGCGTTATAAGTTTTGTCGTGGCATTGGATATGTTGTTGGGTGTGTAACTTTGAATGGGTGCTTGTTATTTTGTGATGTAAATACCGTTGTACGAGTTGTATGTAGTTGTTGTATCTTTCTATGCATGCAATATACATGCATATATCATATATACATACGCTTTACATACGTGCATGTATCATTAATAGATGTATTATATGTACGTGTATCATACATACATATATCATGCATACTTGCCTCATGGATACATGTATCATACACACATATATCATACCTACGTGGGTCAAACATACGTGTATCATATATACGTGTTTCATACAAACATGTTTCATACACACATATATCATACATGCTTGTGTCATGTTTAATGCCATCGTACACACACACATAGTTGGCTCAATATTGACTTTGTTCGTCCGCTCGAGTGGATGTTGGCTCTTTTTTCTACATTTGTTTTGTCGTGTTTGTCGTTGTTTGTTGCTGTAGTTGTTGTTTGTGTTTGCTATTATTGTTGTTGTTGGGGTTGTTACTGTTGTTCGTTGTTGTTAATTGATGCTGTTGTTGCTGTACGTTTTTGATGTTTGCTTTCGTCGTCGTTGTTGATGTTGTGTTCTGTATGTTGCTGTTGTTTTTTGTTGTCGTTGTTGTTTGTTGTTTGTGGTTGTTATTGTTTGTGGTTGTTGTCGTTGTTGTTGTGCTTGTTGTCGTTATGTTGTGTTTTTAGCTTTTCATTCATGTCATCTACATACATTACGTGGACCACTAACAATCATGAAAAACATTAAAATATTTCCTAATGTTCAACCATTAAATTCGTCAAATATCTGATTATTTAATTTATTCAGTGAATAATTATTTATTTATTTTTATTGTTATTGTTATTATTGTTATTTATGACTGTTTGTATTTATGGCAAATTAGCTAGCGCGTAATAATGATTGCTCTTGAAATAGCGATGCGTGCAAATGACTTTCCTACTAATGTTATTCCACCGACTGCTGTTATCCAATTTATTATAATAATTATTATTATTATTATTATTATTATTATTAACTGGCTGATCATCATAATAATAATAATTATTATTATTATCATAATAATTATTATTGTTATTATTGTTGTTGTTATTATTATTATTGTTGTTATCATCGTTATCATCATCGTTATCATTAACCGCCATTCCTTATGCATATGATTGGCCAAAATTTTTACATTTCTGCAATTAATCATTGGTTTCCTGTTGTTATCGTAATCATCATCATCAATCATCATCATCATCCTTATCGTTCCCATTCTTCCTCATCATCATCATATCTGATTATCATTTTTTTTATAATGTAGGTATGTGTAATACATACATACGCATTGTGTATGTTGTGTGTTGTACATATTTGTAAAGAAGTTAAAAAAAAGAGAAATTAAATATTTATATATATGTATATATATATATATAGAGAGAGAGAGAGAGAGAAAGAGAGAGAGAGCGAGAGGGAAGGAAAGAGAGCAAGAGAGAGAAAGAGAGAGAAAAAAAAGAAAGATCAAATAGATTTACAGAGGTTGATATAATAAAGTTATAAAAATAGAGATCGATCGAGGAATAGGAAGAGGAATGATGATAAACTAGAGAGATGATAATGAAGAGGTGAGTGAATGTGGAAGCAAGGAAAGTATGTTGGTTCGCAAGATGACTAATGATGCCCGGTTGACTGATGGACGGAGGATGGACGAACGAATGAGTGAATGCATGGATGCGTGGAAGGATGAATGAATGAATGATTGAAGGAACAGATAGATAGATGGATAGATAGATAGATACAGACGATGAATGATTGGTCGAACGTTGTGACGCTGACATGCATGAATGGAGAAAATAACTCCAACAAAGAATTTACTCTGTTAGATTTTTCATTGATATAATTAACTATTTAAACTTAAAAATTTGCTCAACTCCCTGGCAATGATGACGACAACGATGATGATGAAAATGATGATGATCATATGACGATGATGAATCATGATAAATAATGATGATCATAGATGATTAATTATAAAACGAAGAAGAAGGAGATGATGATGTTTATGATCATTAAAACGATCACGATGATGAAGACAACGATGGCAATGATGACGAGGATGATGAAACATGAATGATAGTTCCTTCCAGCCTGTCCAGCCATCCATCCTTCTTCCATACATAGCAATCTCAAATGCACACATATACTCCTCTGTCACATTCACACAGACACACACACACAGACACATACAGACACACACACACACAGACGCAGCACAAATTTGCATTGATACACACCTTCGCCCCATTTGTCCATTGTACAACCCGCCATCAGATTTATTTCTTTCGCCACTTTTCCATTTTTATTTTTCAAACGCAAATGCGACAACTACTATTAAATATTCAAATTACTTCTAGGTTATAATTTATACCGTCTTGGTTTTATTTTTCTGCGTTCAGACAAGTCTGGCTAAAAGTTTTTACTAGCTAGCCGGTTTGGTAAAATTTTTTTTACTCTAGCTTGATAAAATACAAAATTTTTAAACATTAAGCAGTAGGCTAAGCAGCAGTTATACCAAGACAAACATGCCTTCATTAATTTGTTTGTAATATTATTCATTAATAAATTTCAATGATATAGTATAGCCGAAAAAAGAACCAACATTTTTTTATGGGACCATTTAAGATGTTTTGCACATGGGGTAACATTCAAAGCATGATAAATATCGAAGATCTGTTGAAGATTAATATACGCTTTGTTGATGAAATAAATTTATTCAACGTTTTAATCATATTTTGTTGGAAACCATTTCAAATTTAAGAGCGGTCGTCAGTTGGTCATCTCTAGGCTAGCGAAAATTGGATGTATAAATTTAAAATAAATTATATTAACTGATGTTTCATCGATTGAGGGCTGCAATGTGAAATGTTGCAAGTTTGTGAATTTTTGTTGAATTCTTAAATTATTCATAAGCTGGGATGAATTTATTTTTCCGATATGAAATGATTGATTGGATGAAGGAACAATTGATTGACTGAAGAAACGAATGATCGGATGAAAAAATGATCGATTAAATGAACGACTGAATAGTTGATTGAATGAAAGAAGGAATGATAGAATGATTGATTGACTGAAGATTTTAGTTAATGACCTTGAAAAATGTTCATCGATCAAAATGATGTTGCGGAGCAATTAATCTTTAAATATTTAAGACTAGCCACTGGTTGGCCACATTAATTAATTAACGTTTTTGTCGCTTCGTCAATGCAACAATTTGGCTTCATGGTCCTTCATT